AGATACCTGAACTGTTGGGTCACATTTTTTATCTCACTAATTTTTTAATATTTTAAAACTGTAGATATGATAAACAGCGTGCGATGAAGGAAAGAAGTGACGGGAGATTTTCTGGTCCGTAATTTATGTCGGCACCTTAACAGTCGAAAGAAAGTAAAGGGTGTGTGTGTGTGAGCTGTGCGTGAATGAAATGTAAAGTACAAAATTAATTTGATGCAAGCCTCCTGGTTTGTCTTGCCGTTAGTCTAGCTCATTCTCTTTTGCAGGACCATGACGGCCATCTGCTTCGTGTGCAACCTCCCCATCCTGAGCCACCAGGTGGGGCTGGTATGGCAGGGCGGCAATGGCTGGGACGACCTGATGCGCGGCCAGGAGGAGGAGAACACCATCCGGCAGCGGCTGGGCGGGCGGCGCGACTCGGCCACCCAGATCTCCCAGATCTCGCCCCCCAACGAGATCCGGGAGACGTCGCCGCCGCCGCAGAGCCGCCGCCGCCGCTCCTCGCTGGCGCAGCTCACCGACATCCTGCGCGACTGGAGTGAGTAGTCACCGTGGAGGGCCGCGCCTGCTGGGGGCCCCGCCGCCGCCGCATTGCATGTTCAAACGAGACGCTCTTGTGTTGCTCCCTCCACTCAAGCGCCGTCTTTCGGTCCGGGCGCAGCGGGCGGGTCCGAGGCCAAGGGACGCGGCAAGGACGGCCACGGCCAGCTGCACCGGCGGGAGACGCTGGGCGACATCGCCAAGAGCCTGCCCTGGCCGAGGTCCACCGACAGCGCGGCCGCCCTGCGCAAGCGGCGCGAGTCCTCGGCAGATAACGCCACCACCAGGGTGTTCAGCAGCGGCCGTAAGTACAGTGCTCTCCGTTGCTCCATCTACTTCTAAACCTTCAATGGATTCCGATACCGATGAGGCCATCGAAAGAATTTTGTTCTCAACTCAACTTCGGCTAGAAATGAAATATGCCTTCCTCCTGCATCAAACCTACTCGGATCTGAGCCCCCGCCGGCCTCCTCCCCGGCAGCCACCTCATCCCCTTCCATTAAATATGAACCCTCGACAGTCGACAATCAGCATCCATTGTCCCGCCGCGCCGGGCTTGTGGCCCCGACGGGCCGACGGGGCGTCCTGACGAAGGGGGGGAGGGGGGTGGAAA